GAAAAGGGAAGTGTGAAATTGATGCAAAGTAGTTAAATTGTATGAAAAAGCCCAAACCAACCTGCTACATGTTCAAGTGGCTTCTGAGGGTATGTTTAACTCGAATAGAAAAGAGTCACGGCCTCGAACTTGCCGCATGATATTGGATTTGGCCAAATGAAGCATCACTTTGTGATCAACTTGACAAAAAGGCTCTGGTCGCTTCTGTGGCAAAATACCTTCAACTATTTCGTCCACTTCTCGCAGTTTTTTCCAAATGCTTTTCAGACTCAACCAAGTTCTCGGGAGGGAATTCTTTTGTAAAAAGGGCACAGCACGATGCACGCAGGTTTGTTGCTTCCGCATGTCTCCTCTCCACGAGAGGCGTGCCAATCGACTCGACATTCATCTACAGCTTTGCGATATGCTCCCCCTCAAAGGGGTGAGTTAAACTTAATCTAGTCGCCCAGACAGCTGTTGCTACCGTCCCAGTTGCTGTGTAAACTAGCTCGACTACACTTCTTCCTGTGGTGCTCCCGTCTCACCTCCATTGGCCCCTATTTTGATTCAACTCTCTTTGCTCAAGTCTTCTTGAACAAAATGACAAACATTTCCTCTCTTAGGATGCAATATTATGTGAAATATTAATAAAATAATATATACTATTATACATACATATATATATATATATATAATGCTAAATTAAAATGTATATTGTATAAAAATAAAGCGGCTCATTTTGTAAGAGGACTAACAAGCTGATCAAGGGCAGCATGAGTAAAGCTTACCTTCAAGGATGATCTCGTTTAGCTTGCCGTAGATGTCAAGATTTTTTAGAATGTAGATTATCGCTTCGATTCGATTTGCAAAGTCATTGAAATCACCGAATATTTGAATTTCTGAAAATGTGAATCTGTACCCAAAAAGATAGAAGAAAAAGAGTGCAAATGCAGATGCAAATAAGGTTGCTGGTAAATAGTATACGAGAAATTAGTTGATTGCCAATTGGATAATATCAAAAGGGTATGAGTATTAAGAGAAACAAAAGTTACGTTTACCCCCCGATGTGCGTACATATTCTTATGTGATATCACCAAGTGTCATTAGGTCGCAACGCTTCACACAAAAACACCGGCTGATGAAGGGCTGATGGATTAATTTTTCCACAAGCAGATGAGTAGGCCGGAAGATGGCAGCAAAGTTCGCTTGCTCTTGCGTTTCACAAGGAATTCTCAACACGGCCGGTCTGGAGTGCAGCTGCGACCTGGTCCGGGCCTCATCCTCGCCCTCCACATGAATCAAACCCCATTTCGACATGTCTCTGCAACGGCCTACTACCAAGGAAGCCGGTCGGCGAACAAAAAAGACGAGAATTTCGAGAATAACCAGACCTGTCGCATACCACTCTTCTGTTTCGTCTGTAAGTGGGCTTTCAATACTACCAGTAAATAAGAGTTATGAAATCTTATCACCCAGTTCGCTTAAGGTATTGCTACGACCCAGGCGAGGTTCAAACTGCAGTCCATTCCAGCAGGGATGAGAATACCTTTGGGGAAGCAAGACTATGTGGACTTCAATGAAAATGTAAGGTCTAGTCATATCATTGTGGGAAATTACAAATACTAGTCCAATCATCACCTTAAACGAAATAGAGTAAACGCATCTCATATATCTGATTTACTGATAGTCTCGAATGCCTACTTAAATGAAAAATAAAGTAGTCTAGTCGATTGTTATAATAAATATAACTTGTCTTCATCGATAATCCAACCATAGAATGTGATATTAGAAACTGCATAGCCTTCCTTGAAATTCGCATCTACGCTGCGACCTAAATGTGCTCGTGGCACTGTGTCAAGATAATACACTGTACGGTCATAGTTCAAGTCCCGCTGGAGTAGCGGATGAGACCAGTTGAGGAAAGGTCAAAACTGCAAACCACTCCAGTCTGGATGAGAGTACATTTCGGGTTGAGGTCCATCTCCCTTTAGCAGATTCGAGTCGAGCTGGAGCCTAGCTCAGCTAGGCATCTTAACCTCTCTCCCTCTCTCTCTTTTTAGCGAGAAAGAGGGAGAGAGAGCCTTCAGGCTCAAGGCCATTTGGGTGGTTACAAAAAAAAGACAGGTTTTAAGCAGAATCACCCACTTGGTTGTACTTCCGTTCTCTTTGGTGCATTCCTCGTTGATCGCATGATAGGCCTTTTGGTATGCCTTGTTCAGCTCGAGGCATTCGTTGAGTCGTCCCATCACAAGCTCCGTGTCCTGGTTCCAGACAGTGTTGAATCCTCCATTCGTGATGTAGGCCTTGCAGCTGGTGATCATTTGGTTGGTGATCTGTCCAAGGCATGAATATCACAATAAGGTTTAAGCAGCAGGGGCGAGTGCATTTAAGAGAGGCTCACTGACCCATTCGGTTTTCAGGCAACAAAACCACTATTAAACAACCCCTTTTATAATTCTTAATTTGTCTTGCAAGAGAGGATTTTTGAGGCTACTTGTAGCACTAAGATAAGAGCTGTACACACGAAATTTCCTTAAAGATGATGAAACATTTGTAGCTAAACTTGCCAACAAGTTGAGTGGCCCTCCGGCTTTGGACGCATTTCACACAAACTTGCACCAAAAAAATCATTCCTACCTTCCTCCGGAATACCTTTCGGGAGGCGAGGCTTAGTGAAATCGAATGGGAACGTGAAGCCTACTCAAATCGCTGTGATGACATTCGACTACCGTTATTCTCAATTTGTTAGTTTGATACAGGCCTGGATATGGAGCTTGATGTCTGGTACCACATGCTCTGGTCAAGGCAGGACAAAGGAGATATCTTTTGGTGTCAAAACTGGCAACGCAGACTCACGACGCCGGTTTCGATGCTGACGAAGCTTCTGGGACTGTACCAAGTTCACGGTACGAGGCTGGAAGTTATCAGAACTGGGTCATGTGAATTCGCCACGCTCGTCTTGTCACGCCGATAGATTTGCGAAAGTAGAATGAAACCTGTTGCACAATAAGGCTTAGCTCAAACATGCTAACGGATTCTACATCAATCTAGTTAGTGTCATGTAAATATTTTCGATTTTTCTTAGTTGTCATTGGAGAAGGGCTAGTCATGCTTAGTGACTTAATGTCAACTTGAAGTTTTTGTTAGAATGAGCTTGAGCTCTAATGATGTCAATCAACGGGCAGAACAGTCATATTTTCAGCCAGTTGTCATGCCAACCGCAGGAGGAGGCCTGGTGGACTTAACCAATCGGAACATGAAGCTCAAAATCAAACAACGTCAGAGCACCAAATATCTGCCTTTATGTTCTGGTGAGGTTGACCTGACAAAGTCTTCCTCCTTTAATGTGCGGGGAGTACATGAGTGTTACAGCTACGGACGGAGTACGGACACGTGTTCTTCTTCAAAGCAGGGGCAGAGGAAGAAAAAATAAAGAAAAACGAAAAGACAGGCAACAAGAAGATAAAGAGAAAGGTGGTAAAGAAGAAGAAGAAGAAGAAGAAAAAAAGGAACAAGACTAAAAATAGGAAAAAAAACGAATAAGTAGACTACCAGTCATCTGATATGTATGATTTATTGGTAGTCCCGAAACTGTTTATAAACGAAAAATAAGTAATGCAGTCGATTGTTGTGGCAAATATAACTTTGTTTCATCGACAATCCCACCAAAAAGTGTGATATGTGAAAAAGGCCTAGCTTTTAATTGAAATTCACATCTGCCCTGTGACCAAAGGTCACTCGTGGTTAACGTGCCAAGCCCCAATTCTGCACTGTTACGGTTCGACTCCCGCTGGGGGTGTTGATAGGACCAGTTGATGCGAGGTCGAAACTGCAGTTCACTGGTGCCTGGATGAGAACAGCTTTTGACAAAGCAGGACTATGTGAAGTTCAATGGAAATGTCATCACTACTCACATACTTGTGGTAAAATTCAACTATCAATCATTCATCACCTTAAACAAAATGGGGTAAATACATTTCAGATAAATGAATATTACTTTGCTAGTAATCATAATAATGGTGATTATATGCAGAAGACGACGAAGAAGAGGGGCGCTAGAGGAAAAATAAAGATCCGAAAAATAAGGTCAATAAGAGCAAGCAAGAAACAACAGGCTTTGTCCTTTCCTCCCAAATGCATGAGCTGGGCCCGAATGTCTTTTTGGATAGAACCAGCAGACCCCAATCTCCCAGCTTGTCCGATTCGGTTATATGAAATGAATTCACCCAATTTCGTGTAAGGTGATTAAGGACTAGTAGAAGAAGAATTTTCCCACAATCATATGAGTTGAGCTGATCTTTCCATTGCATTTCACATAGTCTTGCTTTGCCAACAGTTGTTCTCAGTCCTTCTACCAGTGCTTCATCAGCTTAAACTAAATTGAGTGAATACCTGTCACGAAAACAATACTTAATGCAGTTATGCCCCATTTAAGTAGTATAGCAAAAAGGAATGAGAATTGTTTGGGTACCTTGACAAAGAGGATGGTCATGTTGGAGAAGGTCTTGTAGTGCGTCGAGTAGGAGTAGACCAAGAAGAGTGTGTCTATCAGGTGACTGACGGAGGCCTTCATCTCGGGCTGCACAAAAGCAAAAAGGGGCAATTGCGAATCCGATTAGTCGCAAATAAGTCGCTTCATCCTCCTCTTCGAAGAGGCGACCACGTGTCTCCAGCTAACCATTTGCACACATGCCCGTTTATTTACTTTTTCTTCCAAATCTCTCCGACTGTTTATCTATTCAACGAACAAGCCAGCCATTTGGATTGCAAACTATGCCCATCCAGCTGCCCACTTTCCCGTTCCTCTTCATATTTGCCTGCATAATCCACAACTGTAGACAGCCTAACCGAGTTCCAAACCGTTCGTCTCGTTCCGCTGTACACTTCCCACACCCAAAGCCTTTCAGCGAACGCGACCCCAACAAAATCTGGTCATTATCTGATGATGATTACCCTCATAGTTCTCTCTCTTCACACACACCCAACCTGCTCTGCCGCACAAACAGCAACCCGAAGCCAGGCTCCTTAAGCTTTACAGTCTTTCAGCCCCACAACTGGACAAATCTACCTAGCCACTTGTCTATCTATCCATTTGTCTAGTCAGCCGAATAGAAAGTCAGCTTTATCACTAGTACACATGTATAAAAACATATGTATGCAGTAAGTAATTAAAAAAAGTATGTACTACTTGATGTTTTATTAGTAGTAAAGAGAAGATAAGAACGGGTAATTGGCAAGTAATAAATTGAAAAAACAAACATTGGTAAGGTTGCTTGTAGCCAATTCTTACAATTACTTACAATATTTCGTCTGTAAAGTGGGGCACACTGACGCTCGACTGCCTGCAGAAATTTCGCGTTCTCCTTGGCCTCGTTGTAGGCCGCCGTCACGCGTTTGTCCAGCTCCAACCAGGTCTGAAAAAGAGATCAGAATGCCATAAGCTCACACCAGCTTTCAGTCACAATTGCAGTGATCCGGTTTCGGTTTGGTTCATGTGCCGACCCAGCTTGTAGACGGGGATTGACCGGGCCTGATTTCTCAATACCTGGCCACTTTGTTCACTTGCTTTTACCCTCAAAAATGCATCGCTTTCTCGACTTGGCCGCAGCCTCTCTTCTCGCAAAGCGTCCTTCAGGAAACAAACGCAATCCGAGTCCGCCTCCTCAGCGTCCCGACAAGACTGTACCACACACTCGGCCACAGTGCCCCTTTCGGGGAGCCGCTATTGGCTCCGGACATGGCCGAGCACCCCTCGAAAGCAATACTTGCCGGCGGTCGCTTTTGCTTTCCTTCTTCATCAATCAGGTTTATGCATGCCTCCGCAACTAATTATACACAACCGCAATTCAGCCAAACGAACCGTCTATTTCTTGTGTGCGCGAATAAAAATAAGTTTGGTGAGATATTTGAATATCTGGACAAAAAAAGAGTGTTTCAAAAGGAACCTTTCTCACCTATTTTGGTTTCACCAACTCGTAGAAAGAAAGCCTACCCCTTAACTGCATCCGGTCGCCATAAACTGTACATCGACAAACCATGATGAGATGTATTCACCCTATTTCGTCTAAGGTGATGAAGGACTGGTAGAAGAATTTTCCCACATTGC